TTAAACTTGTGGGTTCGCTGTCCCAGATCAGCAGGGGTCATTGGGGCGAAAGATGATTCTGATAAGTCGTTTCATAAAACATAGTACCTTGAGGAGCCGAAAAATGCTTTTTAGCCTGCAAATTTGAAGCTTTCTCTTGAGTTCAAAGGGCACATTAGCTTAATTGCAGTTTACCTTTTGTAAGAAATGCAATAGTCCACGCCCAATTGCGTCAAGAGGCGCTATCAGATTACCTCACTGTAAAGTGGGAGATAAAAATTCGCAGAACCGAGACAATACCCATATGTTAGGCAGATTTGGCTCCTGCGGAGTGTTTCGAATTTTTTTGTCTGCCAAAAGCGCATCTGAACGCTCGGGGAAAATTCTCTCTTCAAAAACCGTCAAGTGGCAATTTATGTAGCACCTGTGCTTCACACGCTTCTGTCGTTTTTTTCCACTCCTAAAACCGAGCTTGACAAAAACGTGAAAAGTTTAGGTCATTCATGTTTTGTTGCCTTCAGACATCCTCAGAACTGCTTGACTGGACATCACGTAGGTATAAAGGCGTTTAGCCAATCGGTTATGAGTTGGAAGTAGCATCTGAGTGCCCTCACTAAGCTCATTAAAATGCTGACGCGTCAGTTAGTTCAGGAGCTGTTGAACGCGAACCATAAATCTGAAGGATGTAGCTCTTTGAAAATGACACACAGACCACAAATCTGTTTCGGTGGTCCACATTGTTACAAAACTGAGCACTATGCTTGTTTTCAGCCCTGGCCTTGATGACATGGATTGAAATTTTGCTACTTTTGGGATGACAATTTAATCAAAATTTTGCTTGTTTCGAGACTTACCAAGCGGTAAAGGCAACAACTCTGATGTTTTTATCATAAAAGTCCCTGGTTCTCATCCAAACTGTGAATTGGGGACTGAAAGCTTCAATACCATAGATTAAACCGAAAAAGCCTAACAAATTTTGCGAACTTAGCAGTGAACTCCTCCGTTTGATGAACAGCAACAGATTCAACTGCGATAATTTCTTTTTCTTGAAATACGAATCATCACTCACCCAGTGCCGAAGTGTTCTAAGTCACTTTACTGAGTTAAACGTTGTTTAATCGAAAGGAACCTGAGAGGCAGTAACAAGCTCTTCATAAATTGCTATTTGCTGGCTTATGCAACCATGATCCGGTCAATTTCGGTATACCCACAATGTGCTCGCACGGGAAGTCAGGATAAACGGAAATGAGGCAAAAGTTTATGCTGAGTATGGTGCCCTGCATAGTTCAAAGAAAAGAGCATAAAGGAACCCTCTGTGGTTTTCCGCTTATTTTTTCCTAGCCGCATGCTAGTTACGTATATTAGATAACATTTATCCCTTGTTGCTGGGAAGCTTATGTGATGCTGTATCTCAACCTTTGAAAAGATAATCTAGTTGTAATGACCTTCCCGCATAATATGAACATAATATGCCTTGAACTCGACAGAGCATTCAAGCAGGAACAGCGCAAAGCTGTCCAAATATGAAGTTAGCAACGACAGGCTCTTTCGGATCCCTTAATTCCTAGTTGATGGTACCTACTCCTAGAGCAAATACAGAGATAGCGGACGGAGTTCCATCATGAAACCAGCATTTATTTTGTTTACATCGACGACCAAATCGCGCACCTTTGATAATCTTGCAAGTGAGGTCAAACACACCACGACCCTAACTTTTTACTGAATATCATGAATTGTAGCCCGAGGAGTGGAAATCATGACACGTTTTCGTCGATTCAGAAGAATGGCATTGTTTTTATTTTGCCGATGAGGCACAGGCTGTTGATTTTTATTTAAATTGGAGAGAAAATGTATGAAGACCTGGAGCAGGACTCTATGCACACCCGTAGGAATCGACTTAGTTCTGCCCCCTCGAATAGTGTAGGAGCTACATGAGGACCAGTCGCCAAGCAAATATTGGCAGCGTTCAAAAGAACACATGCGGGACCATGCTAGATATATGGTCAAACACTGCTTACACCTGAACAAAATGGAAATGAATAAGATGGAACGCATTCATGCAGTTGCAACAAGTTTGCTTAAAAGCAAAACCAAAAGTCACCTGAGATCAACTATGACAGTGTTATTTATACACAGTTCTAACACAACCGCTAATAAGACTGCTCTTGTGCTACTTCATGATGTGAACATTGGAATACTAGTTAAGTAACAGAGTGCTTCCGAAATGCGACTGACAAATACCGGAGAAATGCAGCCACAGTTCTAACACAACCGCTAATAAGACTGTTCTTGTGCTACTTCGTGATGTGAACATTGGAATACTAGTTAAGTGACGGAGTGCTTCCGAAATACGACTGACAAATACCGGAGAAATGCAGCTTAATGAACACCATCTTGATAGATCCTCTTCGGCAGAGACATCCTCTGTTCAGGTTGGACTCCGCTGAAAACCCTGACCTTCTGATGGAGAAGATTTTGACAGTTTTACGGACTGTAATGTAATGAATGGACATGACTTTACACTTCGTGAAAACAAACACGACTTATTGATCTAGCGATCTAGTGCGCCAATATGAAGAAGTCTCTCTGAGTGGTTCCCCGTCTGCCTTAACACTTGGTCAACTTGGTGACCTACTCATTTCGCCTGATGAAGCTTTGTGCCAAATAAATAATCACCAATCTCTTCTGAAACGACAAATGTAACTCCTTTCAAACCAATCTGCATGGACGATTATCACAGCAATCGGATGCATACAGCCCATACTACTGCATTCAGTCAAAGTCACATCATCACCTCTCCTTAAGAAACCCAAATATTCGATCTAGTGAAACACGAGTGATTCGTCTCTGCACTCCGCCCACAGGTCACCTGTCAGTTTGCCCACAGGTATGATGACCAACATATGGTGCTTAAGTGGATAAACCCGAATTAGTCAACCCAGCCGAGCAGTCAAACCAACGATGGAAACCACGGTCGAAATCAGCAATATCATATAATGATAGAAATATACCAAATTGGTGTATCATACACAAACTTATTAGCACCTCTACCGTGAATAAGTTAGCTCTTTCGGTCAATTTTGACCCAATCGTGTGCGAGTGATTGCGTACCTCTGATCTTCTGGTACACTTCGATATGTTTATCTCAGGAACATCAGCAAAATTCCAACGTTGGTTCTTAAAACCATTTTTCTGGTAATACGCATGAAGACCAAATCCCGTGACTGATAAGCATCACCCGTCCATATCTCACAATACTTCCCAATCATAGAATAAGATTGCGGAATCTTGATTAATTTGTCTGAATGATGAGCTTCAAGAAGGCCAAGGGTAATCGTGGTCTGTCAATAAGTTCTTAGTACTTACCAGTAGTTTGCAACATCAAGAGGCCTCCTCGTCTTTTTGGTTTGGACGGTGTTATATTTTTGATAACCCCCTTCGACCACCTCCAAGCTGTTTTGTTCTGGAAATGCTCCCTAGGTAGTTGGTTTCCAGAAAAATATGGCCATCCTATTAAATATCAGATGATCAAAATGGGTATATGTCAGTTTAAACACCCATTTGTTAATTTATTTAGTGTAAAGATGGATCTGAAACACTGTCAAGGACCCCGAAACCATGTCATATATACGATTGTGTGCTCACCGGATTAAGGTGAAACCAACTGCAGTGCAGTTGTAGACTAGACATTATATCACTTGACACAGGCTCTATTAAAAAGGAGGTACGATTGTGTGCTCACCGGATTAAGGTGAAGCCAACTGCAGTGACTAGACATTACATCACTTGACACAAGCTCTATTAAAAAGGAGGCCAAACTTGTTCCTGCGACATTTGGGGACGTCTTGAGAGCCTTTGACAATTCTTGTGAGCAACGAAAGCTTCATCCTGAAAACAGCATCCAATTTTTCCTTTCCTTATCCCACTAAAAACGGACAACCATCGTCATTCTTAGGTGTATCGACACTCGAAAGCTACCCACTACACCAACGCTTGTGGTTACTTGTTACCTAAGGCATTTGGAATCAGCTGGGGTACGGTTCTCAAAGCTCTAAGTGATTTATTTTGCTTGCTTGAGATCTTTTACCGGAAGGATCGGGGGCAAAGTCGAAGTTTGATAGCTCTAGCACATTGATGTGTAAAAATGTAAGCTCAGCTGAATAAAGATGCCCCCATCGGGTGTAAGGTGTCTTCACCTGAAATTAACCTCTCTTCTGCCGTCTTTGGGTTTCAGACTTTTTCCGGAGGTCTCAAGTCGAAATGATGTCTGGCCTGGGGAACTCCTTAGTTATCAATAATTCTATGCTGCTTTTATGCTGATGCCAGTGTTTGGATATTCATATGGAATGTTCCGTTTGTATTCTCCGGTCTCCTGTGCATTTGGTCTCACCTCTCATGCTGGTCAAGGTGTTTGAATGGGCCAGTGGTTTCAGTAAAACTGCATTTGTCTGAGAACATTACAGACGATCCTGGACCTCCCCCATCAGCCAAGGAAACAGGTTTGCGTAAACTTGCCTACTACTATGGAGGATAAATAATTTGATATTCCATCGTATGCCTAGCTGCTTTCATCGACTGGAAATTCAGCCAGTCCAAGACTCATAGAGAGCTTAGCTTTACTTCGTACTAGGACCTATAACCAAATAAAATTTCTTCCTAGATCTATCAAAGACTAATGAATGAGCTTCATTTTCGTAAAAAAAAATGATTGTTTATCGTCCTTCAGCATTGGAACACAGAACTATGCGCTTGTCAATTGATCTTTGTAGCTAAAAACTTTGAATGGAGTGACGGGGTAACATGCATTACTAAAAGTGCTGATTCAAGCATTCATATTTCTGCCATTTTCCCCACATACACACATACATGTATGTAATAAATATTATATTATCATTCTATTGCTGTCACTATATCGTCACAATACACCCGAAAGCCATCTTGCACTTGGAGCCTGTCGAAGAGTATGCAACCATTTGTTCCATCAAACCTATACAACGTATTCTAAAGCTACACATTTTCCTATGCAGACCCTCAGACACCACCTTGATTTGAACGACGATGGCGTGATCACACTTCGCGAGTTCAAGGTTGGAATGGGGCTAGTCGAGGATCCCATTGAGTGAGTTTTAGTAAGCTTGGTTGCAAACGGTTGATTATATAAAGGCCCTAAAATGTCTATCAATTCGGATCGGAAGTAATAAGATTAGGCTCGCTTCCGTTTGTGGATTCACCCGTTATACTAAACTACTTAAATAGAAACCCTCGGCCGATAGGTTGGTTGAAACACATCCACAACCACATGATAACCCTAAACCCCAGAGACCAATACCAGACAGTAAGCAGGCAGAGACAGTTTTAAAGCCACCAGATTAACTAACTGGTGAACAGCGGTTATCATACAGCTTGCATCCAATTGATCATTTGTGACTCAGAGTCTAAGAGAGGATGATCAGCTTTCTCGCAACACTGATAAGACGTACTGGCGAAGCACACGTATACTGCTAGGCCGGTGTGACCAATAATTGACTCGATTTGTGCAGCAGTTTTATGTTTATCACACTGGAATGCCCCCATGTCTATTTTCAATCCTCTGAAGACACAAACTGCGAAATATTTCAAAAACAAATGTATCTGCTTGCGGTAAACTGTTTAGATGTATCACTTCAACATCCAATCCAGGTCACACCCAACTGCCAATGTGTAGACGGCTTTATTGGTCGGGACGGGTCAACTGACTTCACCATTGCATATATGACGCAAAGACATGCCATTCATAGGCCCATATGGACGTAGCCAAACATAACCCGATTACCTTTACGTTTTGAGATAAACGATGACCCGCGCTCCCTTGAAGCCAAGCTCTGACCACATCTGTATGAGGACATCACGATGAATAATCGGTTCTAACAGTGAAGCAGGCTCGAATAAATAATGCACAAAACGCAAACCAATTGAATTTGTCAAAGTAATCATTTGAATCCACAGAAACGAACCAGATGGACGAGGAACATACCTCTTATATCAGGCTTATTTCCGAGCATGTATTGTTCTGTGACATCCCACTGTCTGTGGTATTCCTCGTATAACTTATTCAATCATTAATCAGAATGTTGGTCCGCATTTTATTTGTGTAATCATCCGTAGTCACCACCTGTTAGTTACTTAAAATAGGCTTCGAATTCAGACCCATATTTAAAGTTCACGCGCACTGAGAGGAAAATCCACTTATCATTCAGCCCATGTAGCTACGTTTTACCATGATAATGACGACTGGTTTGAAAATTTCTTTTTATCAAGTTCAAAAAAAATGTTACTGAATCAGGGAATAATGTTGCGGCTGCACTTTTGCTGGTTTGCAATGCATAAGGATGGATATGGACGGATGGATATTTCAAGCCCGATAGCCCTACGAATGGCCCTGACCGCCGTTGCCTTATGAAATGCGGTTAGCATGCTGTTACAGGTGATGTTTACTGAAGTGATCGTGACTGAATCACTGTACATTAGCCTCGCTAACATGATGAAATCTCCGTTGAAATTTTGGCCTTCCTCAAAGTATTCCAGGGTGTGACGCGTGTATTTGGAAAAGACAAGTATATTTCATGCTTCTCCGTCGAGTCTTCAGTCAGCGGATACAGCGTTGACGTGGTGCAAGACGTACGAGTAAAAGACCATCTCTCTGTCGGTCACCTCTACGTTCACTCGAGTTATCTCCTACGACAGGTGGAATCGGTTTCACAGAAGTAACGTATTGTCAAACCCGCAGTACTGTCGAGTCATCGTAGATTGAGAACCAATTCCGGTTTCGGTAGGACAGATACTGAAATGCATACGCTGGGATGACACCAAGCACTTCCAAACTTAATTCGACGGATGCCGATGCAGATAGTCAATTGCTTTAGCAAGAGTCAGTGTGGATATGGTAAAAATGTCATTACAAGGATACAAGACTTACCCTCGGGTTTTCCAACAGTCTCATCGAACTACTGAAATTATCACTATTTACACGCACATCGTTTTGTGCTTTCGCTTTTCTGTTAGGTGGAATAACGCTGGTGATGAAAAAATTGTGAAAAAAAACAGTAGTCTGTTCTCCTTAAAGTCATATTCTAATCTTGCGCGACAACCAGTAAGATTCGGTGAGAGCAGTGAGTTTGACTTACAATGCATCAACAAATAGGAACATCAATGATGATTTTGGGAATAAATTCAAGAATAGGGTTAAAGACCATGAAGCGAATTGTTTGCCGCTGGAATTTGGTTCAATTCTCCAAAAGTCGACAAAGAACGGGTATCTCGCCCACATGTTTCTTGTAGGCAGAAACCAGCATGATTGGCTCGTCTTTGATCACATGACACATGCAGAAATATCTATGTACTTTTTGCATACTGTATTATTACAGTTCTTGGGGTTGAAAGCAAAGCTCAGATGATCTAGTCAAAATGGAGAGGCTTCACCTCTTAAATAGAACAGAGAAGGGAGTATAGATGGAGA